CAAGATTTTAATGACATGATTTTGTTTACAAATCTCTACAAATTAAACATATTTGTTTTAGTTTGTCAGTTTGACATAGAAAGTAGGGCTGGACCATATCATACCGTTCACGGTAATACCGGTATAATGTTGGGCAACGATAGGAGAATGAAATATCGTAATAGAATATGGGTAAAACGCGCAAGCACAGTGCCTTTGTTTTCATACGCACATGGCAGAAAAAGCATGCCGGCGACAGAGAATGAGAAAGGCGAAAGCGGATCGTTGAATGAAACAGATGAACCAGAATTGGTTTTTAAAATGCTGCAACTTCAGTGGTGTGGAACTGGTTTAGCTTTCGTCCGTCAGATACACAACAAAGCACTATTTTTGGTAGAGCATGCTAGCGGGCCGTCGTTATTACCGTGTTTTTTGGAAAATAAGGCACACTTAAAATCAATCCTACGATTTTTCTGAAAATCGACAGTGCCCCTTATAATCCCGTGTGCCTTATGTATGAATTCTGGTTGTGTTTACTGACCTCGAAACGATTTTATGTCGTACATGGTGCTCAAAAATCTGTCAAATGTTTTAGTACGACTTTGCTGATTTGCTGATACGTGCTGTGCTTCAGCATAGTATTACCGTATTGTGTGTGTATAACCTCTTTTTAAGTTTTGTGGATATTATACATGGTTATGCTGAGGATATGTCGGCCAATTTCCACTGGAAATGCCTTTTGGTTAAACTGTCAGCAAGAAATTTGCATTTACACTGTTAACTTTTTATATAACTTTAATGCACATAAAAATGCTTGTTTAAGTGAAAATACGTTGATTTTTTTTTTTTGCACGAATAAAGTTGTGGAGTTGTAAAGTAACTTGTCTAGTGTCAATGATATCATCAGTTATATTGTTATCGCAAATTTTCAAATGTATATCGTGATAAATATTTTTGGTCATATCGCCCTGCTCTAGTTGAAAGCAATTTAAAGTTGTGATCTTTCTACTTTCTTAGATCACACTTTAAAAGGCGTGTGCGTGTCTATGTATTCTTTACATCTCAGCAAGTGCTCTTTCAAAACACTTTGCGTTTCAGTGAGTGTGTATTGCTAACATGGGAAAGAAGGCTGGTGGTAATTTTGGAGGAATCTGAATAAGTGATTCTTCAGAAATATAAATAATTGAACAAATGACATTAAGGTGACTCCTTTAGGTGTGGGGCGACTGATAATGACAACAGTGCATCACAAAGATGGCCGTGCACAGATAGGGATGGATTCTATTGGTGAACAAAAGCTTAAAAACATCAGCCACTGTCACCTAAATCACCTACAGTGTGGGGTTGTTAAAACAGAATCAACACTGCAGTACTTTGTAAGCTCTGCAACTGGAAATGTCTTTTCAAATCAGCTCAACCTGTAGTGCTCTGGCTGTTTCCTGTACTGTGTTTACTGTAACACGGCATTATCTCATATCATTTGATATGCCAGTTGTAAAGTCTTGATGTGGACCCAATATCAAAGTTAGACCCCCTTCTGGTTTGGATCTTCATTCTTTCATTTGAGAATAAACACGTATTAACTGCTTATTAAATGTTGTTTTAGTATCAGAATAAACAAGATCAGAAAGTCTAACCTAAAACTCTCTTTGACTTGCTAGCTCCTGTGTCTTATCAAACCTAAGTGAGAACACATCGGTAGCTACCTGGTGTATCCGCAGCAAGCCTGTGGGTGTCCCCGGTCCTGTCCTATGTATGCTCCAATCAGGCACCAACCTCACCTAAACCAAACAGCGCTGTAGCAAGAGCACATCTAATGTGGACTAAATCTACTATGTGCTACATATGAGACAGTATAAAGTCCGAAAACACCCAAACTTAATTCTCCCGACACTCTCCGAAATGTCCGTGGGAAAACAGTGACCAAGATTAAATGAACAGATGTAGCATTTTGAGTTCAATTTCTCATATTTATTTGAGGTAAAAGCTTTAAAATAATTGATGAATTAGCTTTTACATTATTCGATTATCGAGTCATGTGTTGCTTGAGAAAGGTTTGAGGAGCAATGTTCAAGGCCAAGCAATCAAACAAGTACAGCGTTAATTATATTTTAAAAAATGACTGACCAAAGAATTGTTTTAATTAGTTACATCTTAATACACTTTAATTAGGCATTAGTTAATGCCTATTATACCTAACTACATGAGTATATCCTGCTAGCTAGTTTAAATGTTTACATATTGATTATTATTAGTTCTATAAGATGAAGGCACATTGGATATTTTTGTAAATAAGGGCAAATCAAATGGCTCTTATTGTTGCTATAGTTGAAAAGAATTTAAAAATAAAAGCAAAACTCAATGATGGGTCACAGTTTACTTAGTCCCCAAAATTCACAGAACTATGAGTAACAGATTTAGTCTACAATGGGTAGTTTACAGTGTCACAGTATCAGAGAGGACTAATAGGTTTTATTAATGAGCCACGGCTAGCAAGGATGTTTGTGGATACCCTGAACAGTAAAGCCGACATTTATCCACACTGCTAGCAGCAACATGTGACACAAACTGCGTGAGTGTAACAACTCTCTTGTTTTGACTTCCACCTCACAAACTGATCTTGTCTGGGTGAAATGAACTTTCACTATTACGACATCAAGGTGCACCACACCAATTGTCTGCTTCTCAAGGTCTGTGCTGTGTGACTGCCTCCGTTTTACTAAGCATGTAAGCCAAAAGCCCCAGATTTCCACAAATGTGCACGGCAAAAACCCAAGTTGAAGTGCTATTGGGAAATTAAACTCTGAACTAATTGCCCATCGAATTGCTCAGATTTTATAAAACATCAGAGGGGGAAATGAGGCTTCGAAAAGGGACCATCCCTTTCTGTGCTTGTGAGCCACAGAGTATAAATATCCAGGTCCTCTTCTGTGTGACTGCACTGCAGGATATCACGCAGCTCCATCTGAGAACGGGGGGAGTTGTTAGGCTGTTTATGACTAGTCAGCATTTCTCTTCAGATCATTATAGAACCTGGGCCATGAAACAAAGCTACCCGTGCGCATTTCATCTGATGGCTGATTACCATATCCATATTCATGATAACTACGGGCACGTTAAAGCACGCTGCTACTCTTCTGATATCCGTAAGCCAAGTGGGGACGCTGAAACCCCTGCGATTGTTGGTGGAAATTATGAGGTTACTGCAACCAACCATCAACAGACAGAAAACAGGGCTTATTTCATTCTCTCAGTGATTGTCATCTCTCAGGCTCAGACAGACACACATCAATACAAGTGAAAACAATAGACATTGTATTGTTATTGGAGGAGACTAACAACATCTCCCATAAATTCTGGCCTCTACATATCATAGTCAAACACACACACACACACACACAAACATCTCCACGGCTCACCGACCCATGTGTATTTTGTCATGAAACTAAATGGAGGGTTCAGTCTCTATGTGACGCAAAGCATCCAAATGACCCGTGTCTACTCGTCTGTGTGTATGTCAACAAGAACACCAAGGCAAAGCTACACACTTGGCAGCTTTGCCATACCTCTATTTATATCATCTCAATAAAAGGCTCTTCATCATATATTGCAGGCACCGCTTTCAGTAATCGAAGCCCTGAGTGTTCACCTGCACATCGATCACTACTGATCCCAATACTCCCGATAACCTAAGGAAGGATTTTTAACGCTGCTATACTAATCTGCTGCAAATCACAGTTAGTATTAGAAGAGACCTCAATGACGCATCTGTTGTCAAATATGCCAGCAAAGGCCTTCTGATTTGTTTGGCACTTTTTAAGGCTACATTACCAACACAGCTGATAACCCAGTGGCAACAGACTGCTCAAAGGCAAATAAAGCCTTACAAAAACTCAGGCACCGCACGCGATAGGTCAGCAAAACTTCAAAACAATACTCAGAATTTGTGAGCGCTGCCTTTTCTTTGTAATGCCCCCAAACGTGTCACAAACAATAAGATTTTTTTAAAGCACTGAGTTGTGGCCAACTTCAGTGTAAGGCTGAAAGGCATCTACTCATCAAGGATGATTTTGTGTTTCATTAATTTTCTGACAGTAGCATCTGCCATTAACTATGCCAATCGTCCAGTATATTTCAAACTGTCGCCCACACCATGCAAACGCGTTTATGTTCCACTTAAAACTGTATGGTGACAATTCTGAAAACACTTTCATTTTTTTGGTCAATGTCAATATTTTCCTGTCCACGAGGACTCAACGCGCTGTCATCTAGCTATTAAACCTGATATCTAGTACTACAAAATCTGAAAATGTTCCAACAAACTGGTTAAGGTGTATGAACGTATCTTTACGCTAAACGGTACATGCTAAGTAGCTTGTTCACCCAATTCTTTAAACAGTTAAGTTTATTTTAAAGCCCACAGTCTTTAGCTTTCCTATAATATAGTGTGACAAAGTTTCGATGGTACTTTATTGGGGAATTCCTAAGAGGGATATTAAATTTTGGGCCAAACACAAACCTATCAAGTTTGGAAGTTCACGGTTAACTTAACAAAAACAATGGCCCAAACTTTTCTTTCATCCTTGACGGACTGGCATCTTTCTCAGAGGTATCCAAGTTGTACTAACCAGGTAATTAGCCATCAAGCTAAGCTAGCTACTAGAAAATCGACTCTCGTCTTTTTTATCTTCGTCGATACCCTTCTCTCTGTCCTCTGCGCTTTGCTACACATTAACCTCGGGCCTTTTAAGCTTTCAGAAAAAGCACTACAAGTAGATAGATGCGAGCTATTATTTACGTTGTGGTAAATATATCTGGATCCAGTAGCTAACGGTGGTGTCCCGTGTCGAGCGGACCTCCGCTACACCGAGCAGCGGTGTCACCATAGCGGGCTGGCCGCTGCTGTCTCCCGAGCCTAAAGGCCCCACCGTCATTCTACTAAAGCGGCCGAAAAGGCTCAGAATAAATCAATGACAACTTATAATTGTTCACCTCTGATACTCGGACATCAATTGTCTTACCTTTGCTTTAGTAATGATGTGTGTGGCCAGTTTAACAACCGCGAAATTTCCCTTCCCGATGGTCCGCTCGATTTCGTAGTGGCCCACTCGGGCTGGGGGTGGCCTGGGGACCGAAGTGTGGCCAGGATTTGTGATGCACCCAGTGGCTGTGCTGGTACGACCGGAGTGGCTGATCCCGGAGGATGGCTGGGCTCGGTTCTGGGAGCCCATGCCTGCGTGGGTCGGTCGGGCAGAGTGCGTAATCCCGGCCGCTGCGGACCCAGCAGCACCTCCGCTTGACACGGCCGCCATCTTCTCGCCTCTCTGCGGGAACAACAAGCAGCCGTGCGCAGCGCGCATCGCGGGCACGCCCCCGCCCTGCGTCATTTTACGTAGAAAGCTCTTCCGCAGCGCCCTCTCTAGGTTGTAACCATAGTAACGAGCGGCGTAACAAATGACTTCATCCAGAGAAACGTATTGTGGTTGCCCTGGTGACAAAGAAGTGCGCATTATCACTCCGGTTCCCATGATTCAGTGATTCCTTGCAAAGTGCTGCGTTCTGTATGAGCAGACGGTTTTTAAAGTGTTTAAAGGTGTACGCCGCTTTACCCTTACAATGGCGGACGAGAACAACGGTCGCTTTGTTATTTCACTGCAATACAAATATACATCTGATATGAGTATGTTTCTCAAAAATATGATTACAGTTTCTAACAGCTGAATGCCATGAAGAGATCCCAAATAGAAAAATTACAGCCATTATGGCGGTCGTTCACAGGCACTGTATTAGCTATTTTGGCTGGGGGTTTTTTTGTTTTGTTTTGTCTTCGATAAATTACTAAAAACGTGTACTTAAAAAAAAAAACAACAACAAGCAAACCTTTAACTTCCCCCAGAGATGTAGGTGTCTTTATAATGCTGATAAATGGCCCTGACCTTCTGAGGAGGCTTTGATAAAATCTCTTAATGAACACAGAGTCATTAAATCAGCGATTAGCTGTACTTCCGTGGTGACTGGCCTGCACTCATACAAAAACATAATCACTGTGTCCCCACCACAAGCGTGCAGTGATACCTGCACAGTGACATAATAATAATTATGCAAAACTAAATGTATGTATGTGCAAGAATAAAAAGATAAATAAGCAGGGTCACTCACACCATGCAAAGATGCATTACCTGAATCCACTCATAGAGCTAATTTAACATAAGGATAATCTAAGTAAAACGAAAGGAAAGATTTCAAAGCTCGTTGCAGTTAATTTTATTCTCTGGTCCATAGGCTCTCTCACCAGACTGTAGACAGCACCCCTTCATGGTGGAAAAGAGTTCCTGCATCCAGGCTGGTCCAAAACAGGAAGGTGCCCTGTGGCTCCCAGACCGCAGAGAGAAAGCAGGCTTACTTGTTGTTTGGAATTAGATAACTCATTGTAAATAAGTTTCGGCATGTGCATTTCTAAATGATCGTCTGTAATGCATTTCTTTTTCTTTTTTTTATCTTTTTATTGAACAAAGAATTGCTTCCAACAACAATTACGGCAATATGTGTGTAATGCATTTCTAAAGGAAAGTTTTGTAATGTGCAGCTGACTTGTATTTTAATGTAGGAAGTGGCGCATGTTAAAGGCGCCAGGCAGTGCTCTGGCTAACAAAAAGAGCACTTGCTGGTTTCTTGAGGAGTGAATTAATGAATATGTGGGTGGCGTGGTGGTGCAGTTGTTAGCACTGTCCTGAGTTCACAGCCGCTGACTGGCTGGGGCATTTCTGTGTGTAGTCACAATGTCCAGCTTCCTCCCCTCCTCCCCAAGTGTTGTTTTAAATTGACCGTAGGCGTAAATGAGGTGTGAATGATTGCTTTTTTGTGTCAGCCCTGTGATAGACTGGCAACCTGTCTACCCCACTTCTGTGTACCCGACCTCTTCTCCTATCCTCCAGTGCACCAATGACCATGAGTTGTATAAGTGCCTGGGGTACAGTATTTTGTAGTTTTACTTAAACTATAACTAAAAGCTACTAACAGTGCACAGGCCGCATATTCAACTATATTTATAGCTCCAAACATAAATGTCCTAATGTGTAATGACATGTTTCAGAATGATCATGTAACATGACGGTATTCTTACTTTTATTAGTACTGTTGTTGGTTTTGGATAATAATGTATTATAATTATTCATTTGTTGATGTGTATATCTGTTTAATATTGCAGTTCGTGGTGATTCTAATTCCTTATATATTGATTGATCAACAATAATGTAATTTATCAGCAAAATAATGTGTGACTAAAAGTTTTATATGTGCTGGTTCTATTCATCTTCGCCTACACACAACAGTTTTTTTGGTGTGCATTCTGTTATTTAGACAGACTGCTGGCTGCAGAAGACAATGGAAGTCAAGGAAAGGAGTAAAATTTGAATCCAACAGATTGGTTTGCGTGAGGATCCTATGATCCAACATATGCATACATAGTAACACATTTTGCCTTGGTATATACATAAAATAGATCCAAGTCCTTGGGACACTAACCACTGAAAGACCTTGAAATGTCAAGATTAGCTGCAATAAAAACATATTACATGAAAAAATAAGGGAGTGTAGTTCATACCTCGTGATTTAGTATTTTCCTGATGTATTCCAGTTTCTCTCAAACTGACCTGGTTAATACTTTACCAGTTTTGTATTATTATTATCGCTGTTGTCGTTATGCCTGGTTTGAAGTCACTATAGAGGAAACTCACAGATAAGGCCAACCCCACATAATAGCAAACATGCAGACATCGGTTTCCCCAGATATTTGACTGCTGAGGGTCCAGGAAGTGTCGTCATGACGTCGTGCGTCGGTTTGTTTACTGTCTAAGCGTGGAGGGAGGGTGGGCGCTAACGGCACAGATTTTCACACTGAATCTCTTCCCCCCGCTGGACCAAAATTTCTTGCACAAGGCAGCGGTCCTACGAAACCCGATAGGGACAGCCGTTCGCAGTTTTACAGGAAGGCTTTTGTGCGGGTTTTGTTTTTGACGACAGAACCGAAGTCCGACATGAAAACATGAAGCTGCCTAACCAGCAGTGCTAATGCTAACACGGCGAGTCAGCGGGCTGTCAGATTTCAGGGTTTCACATAGAAGAATTGAGTGTCGCTGCTTTTGTTGTGTTGAAACTTGGCACTGGGCGCATGACCGACAGCGTCTACTTCGTTACGGATGCCGACAGGACGAAGCGCAAGTTTATAGCAAATGTAAACACTTCACTGTGTCACTAGCTTTCATTTAGCACCTGCTGTTATTGTCTGAAGGGGCATAGTTGAGCTAGCCTGACTGCTTTCCTTGTTATTGTTGCTGAATGGGGTGGAGTTTTTTCATAGCGTTGTCTCTCCACCCTAGAGTAACCTAAGATATCGTTTCCCAGTTATAGGAAGACGGTGTCAGGCAAAATGGTGTTAAGAAGCTCCTGGAAATCACGACATAAAAACAGCTGTGGACCTGCTCCCCGTTGGATCCGTCCAGGATTGGCTGCCCTGCTCTGGTTATGTGCGATTCGGTTAGCTTGCGGCATTGAGGTGGGGGAGACAAACATCATCCAGAAAGATGCGGAGTTTGATGCCAACTATAATGACACGGTTACGAGTGAAAACCAGACCATTTACGCGTTTAATCACACCATCTCTCGGAATAAGGTGAGTTCGCCTCCTCAGACTTGTCGGTTCGTTTTTTCACCACTTAAAGATTATTATCAGTCCTTTCTCCTTTTCCCTCTCTTGACTTTCAGACTGAGGGAGTGCGTGTGTCCGTGGACGTGTTATCCAACAAGTCGGAGAGCCCAACCTTGTTTGTGGTGCGACAGAAGCAAGCCGTGCTGTCTTTTCAAGTCCCCCTCATTCTTAGAGGCCTGTGAGTACCCCCCCACCGTTTACATACATAACATATATACATCACATGTATGTGATGTATAAATGTTAATGTTTTTTCTTACAAAAATCAAGTAATTTAAAATAAAAACTGATGTGGTCTGTAATTTGGTCCATCCCTTAACTCCTTTAACTTCACGTTTTTGTCTAATTGCATATTAAGCTTCCCTTCTTTGTATGTAACCAGAGATGGCCACTCACTGTTATTTTAAATCCTCTAAGTTAAGTCTGTCAAAGCATTTTAAAAGATCTATGTGTTACAGAGTTGAAATTGAAATTGAAACACCAGTATGCATTATGCTCAGTGAGGTGTGGAGTCAATTGTCTAGTCTACAGTAAAGCCAGCAGTATTTAAACTTACTGTGCCCATGGCAATTTTTAAGTCCTATTCATTTATGTGCAAGTGACATAGAGGAAAGATGAGATACAAAACAGAATATGTGTGGTATGACATGCCAGCTTTTCTGTGTTTTTTCTGGACCCAGCAAACGTTTCCTTTTCTTTTTTCTTAATAATGTCTACATTAGTTACTTCACCTTATCCAAAACCTTCTACCAAATCATCTTAAATCAGTGTTTTTCCCCAGATGAGATCAAATGAGTGTATTTAGCTTGTGGCACCAGGTTTTCATTGGCAAACATTTCCCAGCAGGTTCATGTTGACAGCCCTAGTCCAGTTGAAGCTGTAACCCCAGAAGCTTTCATGATAGATGCAACTACCAGTTGTTTTTTTTCACTTTCCTTTCTTTAAGTACACAGCATGTCTTATCCTCTTTGCAGACAGTCAGGGCTTTTGTTATGTCAAGCTCCAAACTGCCAACCATCCATCAGCTATGTGAGCAGTCTTGGCAGAGGTTTTCAGAAAATGCCCCTGTTTGGAAAATGAGAGGCCTTAGAGCTCGAATATATTCAGTTACAATTCTTTGTGCCATTTTTACACTGCAGCAGGGATGTGGGGCTGCTAAAGAAAATATCACATTTCAAATTTGGGCTTGCCTAGAGGTGCATTAGTAGGGCTCGGCACATCATTTGGGACTTCTTACATTAGGGCGTGTAGTTAAATATGACATAATTATACAAGATGTTTCCCGGCTTCTCATCGCACCATTGCTTTTTTTTGGGCCTCACTAATGTAGTGACCTATCACAGATATAACCATATTTCAGGATGTCCTGAAAAAAGGTACTTGGGCGTAAGTTAAGAACGGTGTCATCTCAGGCTCAGGCTGCACTTTCCACATGTAGCATCACAGCTGTGAAGATAATGGTGTGAGGTCTGGCTGTCTCCTCAACTTTGATTATTATAGTGTGAGGTATATTCCTGAAAGTTTTTCTGTTTTCAATAGAACAAAGATAACATAAAGTAGTATTAAAAACAAACAATAACAGCCGGTATATCGACATTCAATAATTTTTTTTTTTAGTCCCCAAACATCAACATTCACCCTAAAAACCTGTTGTTGTTTTGGTGCTGGTAGCTTTATCAGGTTTGTGAACATACACTATTGTTTGTGATTACCGATGGATTAAATGTAAGCAACTGCTAATAAGGATGTCCTCTTCCTAAATGCCACGTAGGCAGATTTTATTTGAACATGTGTTCCAAGGTTCTTTTTAAGGAGTGTCGGGCTACTTGGACAGTAAACGAATATAACTACAAGTCACAAGGTTTAGCTGTAAAAGCAGATGTAGTGGAGAAAGGTGACGAGGCAGTTCAGTCTGCAATCAGTAATTCTTTTTAGAAGTGTGACCGTCATTTGACGAGTTTTGTAAGAAGGAAACGGCAAAAACCACTGCCTGTGATGTGCTTGGGATTGTCTCCAAGTCACACAGCTCCTGTAACCTTACTTCATTGTGTGCAACGTGATAAAAGGTTCCTAGTTCTGCAGTTTATTTTCCCAACAGTCCATTTGTGATGTGTTCCTCTCTTGCACTGGAAGGTTTTGCAACACCAGAATCACCCTGCTGTCAGTCATTGATTTGTTGGTCTCATGGTCAGGCCACATTTTTAGCAGCTCACTAATGAACTTTGGACTCTCACTTCCTCCTTTGTGAACCACCAGTGCAGAGATGGGGGAGCTAATGTCATTGTGAGGTTTGCATTCAACCACTTTTAAAGGAAAAATTACGTTCATGTTTCAACTTGTCAGATTGTGTAACTGTCAAACAAAAAACCCACCTGATTTGCTTCATTCTTATAATATTAGAGAATATACAAGAAGGAAGGAAGGACTGTATGAGAGGTTAAGGGAAACTTGATTTTTGTTGTCCCCTCCATTTTTTTTCTTTGTTCCTTTTTCATCAGCTATCAGAGGAAGTACCCTTACTACGATGTGGGCAGGACACTGTGCCAACCTCCAACCCGGGCCGCCTCGGAGACCCAGTACTTCTTTGTTGACGTGTCTACCCTGTCCAGTCAGGGTACAAACTACCAGCTCAGAGTGAGCCGTGTTGAAAGTTTCACTTTGCAGTGAGTGTTATCTGTTATGTAATAAATCAAACACAGTACCTGCCTGAATTTCCATCTTATTGCACTGTACATCAGCCTGTGTTATTTGAATGACACGTTTTGTTTACCTTGATTACAGAACAAACAAGAAATTCAGCTTCACCGCATCACCATCCCAACCTCAGGTAACCTGCCTGGTACCATAGCTCTGTGTGACAGTAGGCTCCTACTTTACATAACTGTGTTGAGTCAAAGAAATGAGCACCACAGATGGGGGAAGTTTGTGGATTTGGGGGGGGGGGGTACTCATGACAAGAAACGTGCAGGAAGCCAGCTGAAAGTATACATGTGAAAGAGGATGCTATGAATGCAGGGACTTTCTGATTTTGTGTATTTATATTACATAAAAAAATCTTTTTCTTGAGTAAGCTCTGTTTTCTGCACTTCCAATTATTTAAACAAAAATTTTGCTTTCTTTTTGGCCTTTGATGACACTTTCATTGGATCGTGTTAGGTTTTTGTTTTGGATGTGAGGTAGGGCTGTGCGATATGACCAGAATCTCATATCCCGATATTAAGACATCTATCGTCCGATAACGATATAAATCACAAAAATGTAACATTTTCTGT